GCACCTCTTACATTTGATTCGTTTCCTCGCATCCATCATCAACGAAGGCCTTCCAGCTTTACGTGTGGCTTCGGCTTCTGCTTGAGGATTTTTCATCTTGAATGTCGTTGAATGCTGGTCCATTCGATTCTTTCTAGAGTTCTGGGGTAGCCGCGCTGAAGCGTTCCCAGTTGGATCGCAGAGAGTGACTTTACTCTTGGGCAAGTCCGGTACTAAATTCTCGGCGTCGGAGGGATGAGGAGCTTGGTGAGCCTGGTGTGCGGGGTCGAACCAGCACCGTGGTCGTGATGATCGGCATCACTACTGCTGTGCTCTCCGGTCTCCCAGTTTTGTTAATAGTTAGCGGGACTGTTGAACCGCCATTGAAAGTCGGCTGTGCCTTTGTTAATGTTACAAATTAACGTGTAACTGTTGTACCAGTACCGTATTTGTGAGAACAATCATTCAAATGGTCAAATTCATTCTTTACAGAGACCTGATAATTCCCCATTACGTCTAGGTTTGTATGTTTTGTAACTGCTTCCTTTGTAATTCCTGAAATATTTAAAATTGTTCTTAGTGATCAAAACCACAATGGTGCGATTTGATTTCAATGCGTACACGTGCTGGAATTTCGCGTTCAAACTTTAATACCGCTGGCTTTCTTTTTCCACAGGTTCCGACACTTTCTTTGTAAGTAGCACGCTTGAGGAAAATCTGGGGAGGATTTTGTTTCTCGGTCTAAAATTATAGTCTTCTGAAGCAAAATTTATAAATTCTTTCGAGGAAAATTAGGTTATTAAATTGTTATTGACTATAATTTATTTAAATTAAAATTAGATGTTGAAGGATGAAGCTCTCGGCGCCGATCTATCTCTGAGGAATACGCCATGCATTCGACTTCATTAAGCATCGTTGGAGATGACTGAATCCTTATCTGGCCTTTACAACGGCTCGCGGTTACCTACCGATGTGTTGAGCCAGCGAAGATGTCCTCCAAGACAAGTCCGGTACCAGTTTGCCCACACCGGAGGACTGGAAAGCTTTGTGGGTCTGGGGTGCAAGGTTCGATCCCATATGTATTATTGGAGAGCGCCTCCGACCACTGCTCGCACCATAAAATTAGGTATTAGATTTCTCACAATTTTCTCCGAGAGGGTGGCAATTGCAATAATCACTGTGATCCGTAGATATCTTTTAATCTGTTCACTGTATTAAGTACGATTCTTTAATATTTTTGAAAAGAAAAAAGATTTTATCAATTCCATAAAGGTGGAATTTCTTTCAGTCTACGGGTTTTCATCTTTTTTTGACTTTCTCATTCATTTTTGAGTGAGTGTAATTCATTGGAGCCAACATCTATTTTTCTAAAGTTAAAGGACGCAACTGTTCTGGTCATGTGTGTGTTGAAATCAATGCATGCAGTTGTAAATGTTTCGCAAAGCTTATTAGCTCATAGTTTACGTCATTGGAATAAAACACTTGAAGTTCACATATTCTTACAAGCAAGCTAGAGCCTCTTATATCGTACTAAAGTGAAGTTCTGATTCCCACGATCAACTTTCTATTAACCTCAGCGTTGATCAAATAGTTCTCGATATTCTCGTTGAGCAAACACGAGATATTACTTTATTCTTTATTCCTTTAAAGCTGACATCTCGGCGGATTTCTCCTTCTTCAGAGCCTAGAAGGGTATATTGGTACGCAGTTTAATGCGTCAAACGCTTCAGTAACACACACACACACACACACACACACACACACACACACACACACACAGAAAGAAGAAAATCTAAATCGCAATCATACGATCAGCAGCTTCTCGACAAAACCCACCATTCATTACGTGGCTTTCACTGAAGAGGAACAGCTGATCAGAGCCGCACACATAGTCGATGAATGCAGCACCATACATCAAAAGTCGATGCGAGGGTACGGGGCGACATCGTGTGTGATCTCGATTCGTTCCTCCTTGATGTTCATTGTAAGGTTTTTGGAATTTATCCAAGAAGTCTGTAGAAGTTTGTCTAGGTGTTCTTTTATGCAGATACATAAAGATCTGTCAGTTTCGCCAAAAAAGTCGATAATTCTAGTAGGCATCACTATTCATCTGTGCAAATACTACAAAAGATCAGGTGTATCGTACCTGAATTCATGCACTCACCGATCCTGCCATGAGGACAAATTACACAGTTCTGTGTTTCACATAGACGGTCGAATAGGCGGTTACGAAGTAAATGATGACGAATGGTATTAGGTGGTGTTCGAGTATCGAGAAGCTATTGATTAGTGACTGCGATTTAGGTTTTCGTCCTTCCGTATGCGTTATTGGAGTGTTTGAACGTAGTAAATTGCCTATCAATATGCCCTTCTTGGTTCTGAAGAAGGTGATACTGCCGAAACGTCAGCTTTAACGGAATAAAGTATAAAGTAAACATCTCATGATTGCTGAACAAGAATATTGAGAGGTTCTGATTTATTGAAACTTTATAAATCTTTTCCCGCACTTTTCCTTTCGTCGGAAATCTTATATCGCCAGGCCGAGAGATTGGATAAGTGGTATTTCCTCTAACAAGATACGATTGTATTCCTTAATATGCTTACTTGGTTACCTGGATGATCCATCTTCACTGATTTTGCAGGTACCAGCGTAATCTCCATTTTTCGGAGTTTTACTGGTTTAGTCATTGTGGTTCATTGAAGTCCCGCAGCCTGGCCAACGTTTGCCCCAGGTCGCCACCATTGTGATCAGGTGGTATTTGCCACCATGCGACTAGTTTGATACCAAGGCAGTGGTGGATCCTGGTACTAGTTTACTGTTAGCGGTGCTTCGTGGTGGAAATGCCGAACTCCTCAGGTTGAGAGACTCTGCTGGGGATGAATCGTTGTACATTGCAGTTTAACATCCAGGGACATCTCCCAGCCACGATGAGACGGTAAACCATTGGAAGGGTGTTACCATATAACCAGTAATGATTTGCTGAAAAAAGTCGATAGTTCTAGTAGGCATCACTTTAAGAGCTTTACATGGCCTTCCTCTCATTTTTCCAAGATTAACACGGGGAAAGCTGATCAGTATGCGTCGTATCATATTCTTCTAAAGTCTGTAACTGATGCATTTACATCGATTGCTTGAATTTTAATGTATTCTTCATCGATGCAAACAATCTCATTGAAGATTCTGCATTGCTTACAGGAAGCCCGTGCCTGGCCATCGGTCGGCGAGCGACCTGGTCTTCGGAAGCTGGGAAGCGTAAGCTGCGAAGTTCTGTCTTGGTCAGATGAGGAAGAGATGCACAATGTCCATAATGACGACACATCGCAATCCTACATTAATCTACCGAGAAGTGTGCTTAACTTTTTTTTCGTTTTAAGTTTTGTTCTTCTTAGATCTTGTTTGGTTTATATACCAACACTTGGGAAAATGGCAGCATTCTTGTCAAAACGGAGCGTCAACACATACTTGATACTTGATACTTGGATGGCCCGCCCTCACTGGTTATGCGGGTCCTAGCATAATCTCTATTTTTCGGAGATTTGCTGGTTAAGCCGTTATGGTTCTCTGGAGTCCCGAATTCATCCTCGCCAAAGTCTGTCCCAGATCTTCACCGCCACACACAGTCGCAGCACTTGTGGGTTAAAGGGAGATTCGCCACCATGCGACTTTGATACCAGAACTGTGGTGGGTCCTGGTCGTGGTTTACTCTTAGCTAGACTTCCTGATGTATAAACCGGATTCATCCACAGCTTGGGAGACCCTACTGAGGTATAAATCTCCCTACTGTACATCGCAGCCGGACACCAAGGAACACCTAACAACGATGACGGGTTAACCGTTGGGAGAACGATGGCTAATCGTGAACTTAAATACTTAAAATCTCTTAGATTGCAGATTTGCCTTAAGAGTGGAGCAGTTGTTATTTTCGCGTATTCGTTAAGTCAAATTTCAGTACCACCTCAACACTCTGCTTCACCGTCAACAGATTCTGAATACGAATCAGGCAGACGGTTTGTGTTGAAGAGTAGCGATTCACCTTCTGTTGAGCGAGGAAGCGAACATGATGCTACCGACAACGAAGGTCTCACAAATTTAGCTGATTAGATTTTTAGCATTTTACAATATTTTGCTTTTAGCATATTGACCTAACATTCCGTAATATTTAATGGCTTAAGGTTTGTGTTCAGTGACATTCCGCTATCAGGAGAATGATGAAGTCACCCGTGATCCAGGACCTAGTCAAGTACGATAACGCTGACGTATTATTTTTAACTCGTTTGTTGCTCTGTTCTCCACTTTTATATCCTTTCTTTCTTTATTCAAAAATATAACTAAATTAAATGGTCCGTTAAAACCTGAAATTGAAGGAAGCTGTAGATTGACTGCAATCGAAGAGAACTTGTTTACCTAATATGGCGTTTTGCCACAGTACTTTTTTTTTCAGGTTTTTGAAATTCTCTACGATTACAAAGCTCGTAATAATGATGAACTAAATCTCAAAGCTGGGACTACTGTAAAATTAATACGGAAAACGTGAGCAGTTTTGTATTCTAACTGGTATCCTTAGCTGTACCCGATAACTTTTTCTTATTTTAGCGAAGAAGAGTCGTGGTTTTTCGGTGAATGTGAAGATGGTAGCCGTGGTTTGTTTCCAGGAAATTACGTTAAGCTATTGGGTGAGCAGATGAACTTGTTTTGTTGCTGTCGTGAACTTACGTCCGAATACAACGCTTTCCCTCTTAAAATTTTAGGAAGGTTAGGGTGTAGAAGTATTTTTGTATCTTGCTTCATTGATAAACTAACACGAAGCTGTTACTAATATTTATTTGGCTAACGTTTCGTCGTCTTAGTTTTCCTCAGAGTCTCAGGACATCGACTCGGATCATCGACTGTGAAGGAGGTGAAGATGTTGAAACGTCAGCGGAATGAATATTGCTAACAATCTTGTGTTAGTTTATCAATGATGAAAGGTACATTGGTCATTTATACCGTGGTTTATGAAGAGTCGGTTAACTATATTGTAGAAATATTAGTTTACTATCATTGCTTTATAATTTTGAGGTTCTGACGCAAAGCCAATCACCGCTGAAGAGATTTCGGAACCACACGCCGGTAAAGAGGAGCTGATTGGTAGAGGTGCTTCGGCTGAGGTGTTCAAAGTAGTTTTTCAAGGAGAGGTAGTAACTTAAGAGTTTTTTGAATCTTCTGTTTTTCAATCTTTTTGCGACGAAGCTGGTTTCTCAATAACTGGAGTATTGCAGTAGTTCGGAACTCTATAGCTTTATAGAAAACTTTTACTATATCATTGACTGCATACTTTTTTTTTACATAACACCCTTCAAATTTTTTAGTATGTTTAAAACTAGAATTTGAAAAAAGTTCGCAACGAAGTCAAATTTGTAAATTTTTCAATGGAAGAGCGATAGTTGCGAATATAGGCGATGCCGGGTGGAACAGCATTGAGCTGTGTTGGATCGAGTCTCGCTTATTCACTTATTTTTTTTGCTCGAAGTATGCGCGCTTAAGTAGTAAAAATTGAAGAAATGCTTTTCTTAGGCTCCAGAAAACCAAAAATTTCGTCGTGAGAAAGTTAGGAAAACTTTAGGAATTGATTTGTGGATTCCAACAGTTTTTATTGCACTTAGATCCACTAGAAGTTGAAATAGGTTGGTTTGAAGTAGTAGGAGCGTAAGCCTACGGCTAAGTGTATTCACTATGAGCTGAGATGTGTTGATCTGAAATTGTAGGAACCTAAGGCTAAAACAAAGCCAAAACCTATAGCCTGAGCCTGTCCACTATGTGTTCATATGTATTGATTTGAAGTTGTAGGAGCCTAAGCTTAAAGCATAATTCTATTCATTGTGTGTTGAGATATGTTGATTTGAAGTTGTAAGCGGTCATTGCTTTTGCATAGCATGCATTCCATAGAAGTCACGTCGCGGTGTTTGGGTGAACGAAAGCGGTTGTTGGATACCTTTTGAGTATGCATGATTTTGTGTTAAGTCTTGAATTAATTCTTTTCAGCTAGTGGCTTTTAAGAGAATTCGAGAACGAAAACCGGCCGATATTGAAGGTATCATTGTTGTTTAAACTTCTTGTTATTATTTTATCTATGTAGTTCCAATTTACAGCATTGAAAAGAGAGGCAGTTGTGATCAATCGACTTCGACATCCGAACATTATTCATTTGCTCGGGGTGTGTTTGGAGCATCCACGTATTGGTTTGGTTCTGGAACTATGCGAAGGTGATAGCTAAATTCTGCATTACCTTCTTATCTCAGGAATCCAGAACTTGTTTCGTTATCAAAATTATGGAACAAATTACCAACTTGTTCGTGTAAATTTGGCTTCACAAGTTCATTTTCACGAGAAATCTGTGGTATATTTTTCTAAAAACTGGCTCTTTTGCGTGCTTATACTCTGAATAGTTGGTTTAGGTGGCTCTCTGAAGAAGTTGTGCCAGAAACTTGTGAATTCCTTTGTTTCGGTGAGAGTACTTGTCGATTGGGCTGCGCAAATCGCATCAGCTATGAGGTGTCTCGCCGCAGAAGGGCTAATGCATAGAGATCTCAAAGCAGACAATGGTAGGTTTTTACTCAGCTGTCGTATTTTCTTATTTAGTAATTTATCGCCTCATCGCGGCTGAAAGCTGGTCCAAGATGTCGGGATGCGACATATAGAGGGGCGATTCTTCTCTCCAGCGGGGTCTCCCAAGCTGAGAAGGAGTCCGGTGTTTCCATCAAGAAGCACAGTTAAGAGTAAACCAATACCAAGATTCACCACCGTGCTGATATCAGACTAGTCGCATTGTAGCAAATCTATCTCTGGTTCATAAGAGCGGAGGCTGCCTGAGATGGTGGCGACCTAAGCAGACTGGTCTCGCTAACCTCGGGATTCCAGGGAGCCACAGTGGCGAAACCAGTAAAGCTCCGAAAAAATGGAAATTATGCTAAAGCCCGCACAACCAGTGAGGACGGGTCATTCAATTATCCAAATATTTGATTGTGTAGGAATGCTCGTTTTCTGGCTGTTTAAACACATGGTGGGATTGTAATGCCAGTTTGGGAACTTCTATACCTGTTTCTATTCAAGAACAGTTCACTTACGTCCTGTTACTCTTTTGCTTCTTATGAGCTTTTATAAGGGCGCATGTGGTGCAGTGGTCGGAGGAGCCCTGCAATACACATACGGGACCGATCCTTGCATCCCTGGAACACCAAGCCTTCCATCCCTCCGGGGTATGCAGATTGGTACCAGACTTCTCTGAGGATAGCAACACTGGCGCGATACATCGGTAGGCCACCGCGGTTCATTGTAAGGCCAGGTATCCATTCAGTCACCTCCAAACGATGCTTAATGAAGTCGAATACATGACGCATCCCTCAGAAATTGATCAATGCCGAGAGCTTTTTAGAGCTTTTTGGTTTTATTCTGCTGTGTAGGAACTCTTAAATTTTCTATGTTTCATCTCATGGTAGGTTTATGATACGAGTTTGGCGCTTATTCAAAAACAGTTTTCTTATGTTTTGTTGCTTCTTTATTCTTTATAACCTCTTATGCAACGTGTTTCAGTGTTAGTAAAGGAACGGGTCTGTACGTGCATTATTTCGGCGTGTACACCGTCATCAGCTGCTCAGACAATACATTTGCATAATGGAATTCAAGTAAGTGGAATTCAGTGATCTTTCTGAAATACCATATTTCCCTCGGCAGTGATACTGAATGTGGTAGAATTAAATTGTAGGCTGATGGATATTGTCAACACTGTAAATGCAGAGCGTTAGATCGCTTAACAATGAAAGTGACAGATTTTGGAAACACTAAGAAAATAAAGGACGAAGGTGACAAGCGGTAAGTGTTATTTTCTACTTTTTTTTTTGTTCAACCTCTTGCTTATTTCATATGGTAAGTATTTTTCTATATGTTAGTCAGAGCCTGGTTGGCACATATGCATGGATGGCTCCAGAAGCGTATAAGTTCCAAAAATATTCTGAGGCGTCGGATGTATGGAGCTTTGGTGTGTTATTATGGGAACTACTCACTAGGAAGGATCCGCATCAAGGATGTATGCCGATTACAGTTGCCTTCCACGTACGTTTCAGTAATATAGCTTAGTAAATACTTGATTTTGTTCTGGAACTGTTATTTTTTTTATGTTGACTTTTTATTTACTGCCCACTACAATTCCTTATGGTAGGGTATTATGTGTGATACAACCACAATGATGCTGAGACATTTGCAAAACTCCAAACCAGTGGTGTCTGCAGTGGTGAACAAACCTGCTATTACCCATTCCAGGGGCTGACGCGTTCACCGCCGCACAATGCGGGTCCTTCAAAAATTGGCTGAGATACGGGCGAAGCAAATGACCCGCATGGTGTGGTGGTGAACACGTTAGCTCCCGAAAAGAGTAGTAACGAGGTTCGATACCCATCGCAGACATCTGCGGTCCGCAGTTTAGCAGTTTGGCAAATGTGTCAGCATCGTTGTGGTTGTGTTTCACATCATATTCTGCCATGAAAAAAAAACGCAGTAAACAAAAAGTGATTACAGTGTTATTTTTGTTTTACGTCTTTACAGAAAGGATTTTAATCATGTTTTTCTAAAGTTTATATTCAAGGATGCTTATAAGGCACTTTATCTGTGTTAGGTATCGACGAAAGGTATCGATCTACCGATTGCTGATGACTGTCCCTTAAAATGGAAAGACATCATGCAGAGCTGTTGGCAGGTAAGCTTTTAGTGAACAACATCATCTTACTGTTAACTTTGTTACGAAAGGACGCAAAAAATCGTGTTTCTAAGATTTGTATACATTATGGGAAGTGCCCTACCAACGGTTTACCGCCTCATCACGGCTGGGAGGTGTTTCTGGGTGTCGGCCTGCGATGTACAGTAGGGATTTATGACAGGGCCTTCCAACTTGAGAAGAACCCCGGCGTTTCCATCAGGAAACCCACTTAAGAGTAAACCAATACCAGGTCCCATCACCTTTCAGGTATCTAACTAGTCGCATGGTGGCAGATCTCCCTCTGATCCACAAGGGCTGCGACTGCTTGTGGTGGTGTAGACCTGGGGCAGAGTTCTCCCAGACTGACCTTGGTACTTCAAGGAAACACCTTGGCTAAACCAGCAAAACTCTGAAAAATGGAGGTTGTGCTGGGGCCTGCACAAGCAGTAAGAATGGGGCGTTCAAATGTTTAGCTATTGGGAGTGTCGGAGTCCATATCTTCAGTTTCAGTAAAGTTTGATATATTTTCTAATATACAAATTCCGTTGAAAGGCGCTTGGAGACTAGCTTTTTTAAGGTGTCTCCTGAAAACAGACCTACTTTTGCGGACTTGTTGACATTATTTACTGATTATCGAGAAGAACTTGAACGAACTACTTTTTCGGTAAGATGGTTTTTCACCATTAGGTTGGTAACGCGTGTGAAGAAACTCACTTCATTTTATTTACTCGTTGCTTTTTTTGCTATTTTTTTTACAGACGTTAACCAGAGGTTTAATTTAGGAAGAGCAAGAGGCTTTGGTGAGAAGGGTGCAGAATGAGATTCAAAGAGAAATCACGGAAGTTTATGTGAAATTGAACGAAGACGGTCAAAAGTGAGTTGCCGTTTCTGTAGTTCTGGTGGATGAGGTTTAATAACCCTGCATTGTTTATTTTGATAATGGTGGACCCGTCTTAGAAGGATGGCTGGGATGCTAGAAGAATCGTAATTTGAGAGCGGTCTTGGTATCCCGAAAATGTTTTTCATGTAGTTCCGGAGTATCCGTTTCAGACCAGCTTTCATTACCTCATGTAGTTCGGAACGAGGTACTTAATGGTAGAGCGTTCCTTTTTTTTCAGTGCGTTGAATACTGGCATGTGTTTTTCCAGAACGGTGAAGGTTGTCATGGGTTTCTTTTTAACTGGGATTTCTGGGTAAATGTGGGATATCTCGGCCGTTGTGATTCCATCTAAAACTGAGCCACTGTAGTATGTCGCATTCAAGAATTTAAAAACACTTATTTACACCTAGTGAACAATTTAGGCAGTTACTGATAGGTAGCTTCACCTTGGTTGGCGTTACATGTACTTCATGTGTTATCCTTATAGAAAAATGCGTCTTATGTGTGAGAAGCTTTACGAACAACTGGATTTGAGAGGAGATGGTTCAACGAAATTACCGGAAGCGGTAGCACCTGAAGTACGGGAGCGTCGAAGGGGAAAAAAGAAGATAGAAAAACAAGATATATCTCAGCCACAAGGTTAGTAATTTTGTGTGTTGCTGTAATGTATCAGCCAGTATAGATATCCTATGATAGGTTTGGGAATTTTTGGTAAAGGTGATTGACAGTGTTGTGTATTTATCTTTACATTTTTGTGTTGTGCTGCTTAAATATCCATAGCATTGGAATCATGTGACGGATGAAGCTCTCCGCGTTGATCAATCCCTGAGGAATGCGTCACGCATTCTATTAGCTAGTAACATATGAAATGTCCGATGTTAAATGCAAACTTTAAATAACTATAACTTTTTTCATACCAACTTTTATTAATCGAAGTGAGCACCATTAGAATCAGCTCATTTTTTTTTAACAAGAGGCAACTTTGTTTATTTCAATTGCATGAAATTCTGGATTTCTGAAAGTGATGAATTCATTAAAGGCATTTTTTTGCGTCACCGTGCTTGGTGAGGCATTTCTCGCGGAGCAAGTTGTCAAGACGCTTAAGTGATAGTCGGTAGACGGGAGTTCTGGTAAATATGGCGGATGAGGCAGAGTTTCATAGCCCAGCTCATTCAGCTTTTACAGCGCTTGTTCCGCAATGTGAGGCCGGGCGTTATCGTGGGGAAGGATTGTGCCTTTCTGTTGACTAATGCCAGTCTTTGTTGTTGGAGTTTGCGGTGCATTTTGTCGATTTGTTAGCAATACTTTTTTGCCGTAATCGTTTCTTCCGGATTCAAAAAGCTGTGATTATTCAATCCGGATGTAGGCCACCAAACAGTAGGTACCGTAACCTTTTTTGCTACAATTTCGGCTTTGGGAAGTGCTGCCGAGCCTTATCGCAGTCCAGCCATTGAGCTATATGTCGCTAGTTGTCGTATAGAATCCACTTTGCGTCGTACATCATAATTCGATTCAAAACGGCAATTTTTTTGATTATCCTTTAATTCTTGCGGCACTAACCTGTCGTTTTTTTGCTTTCCTATGTGATTCAAGTGAGTGAAAATTGTTCTTGTGCTTTCTCCAAGCTGTTCTGCAAGATCTCGAATAGTTGTTCACGTGTTTGCTTCCACTAGTGCCTTCATTTGGTCGTCGTCAAGTTCTTTAGGACGTCCAAGGTTTTCCTTAGCTTCGAGGTCGAAATCACCAGATCGGAATTTCTGGAACCACGTTTGCACTGTTGATTTACCAACACTACCTTCACCCCAAACTTGACGATATTCCCAGCTCCTGCCGCGGCACTATGTCCATTCTTCCACTCCTACAAAAAGGAACACGAAGATCGCGTTGATTCATAGTAAAATGAAAACCTATAAAAACGTTGGAATAACAAATCTTGAGAAAAACCAATACAAGATATGGAAAGAGCAGACTTTCGGTTTCAAAAATATATTAAGCATGCATAAATAACAAAACTTTTATTTTAAAGATTACACGAAAATTTGAAACAATAAAATCGGAATTTCATATGTACCAACCATGTACTTCATTAAGCATATCTGGAGATGGTTGAATGCATATTTGGCCTTAACACTGACTCGGGGTGGCCTACCAAAATGTATCGAACCAGTGTTGCTATACTCCCAGATAAGTCTGGCACCAATTTACCGACCCCGGAGCGATAGGAGGCTTGGTGGCCCTGTTGCGTGACGATCGACCCCACTCGTATTGTTGAACACTTCCGACCAGTGCGTTACATGCTCTCCTTTTATGGAGTATAGTATTACATTTATTATGTACACGAATTTCAACAGTTTTATTCTAGAATGTCGCCACTTGATGTCAATTCAACAACCTACGTCGAGCAAGGCCGATTTGAGAGTAATCGTATGTAAGTTTATTTATGCTTCGCTCTCTGTTAAATTCGCTCCGTTAATTTTAAACCATTTTGTAAAAAATCTATTCTTACTACTTCAGATATGTTATCGTAATTCCTTGGTACCGTTTTAGTCGATCGAAAGTCTTCTGGAGGACCGAAAGCCACGTCCACAAATGTATTCGGAACTTTACCAAGAATGGATAAAGAACGACTGGATGTTCATCGGCCTCTGCAGTCAAATCTCTCAGTCAGTTATCCGAATTTGAATGAATTGGAGGATCATTTTGGAAAGAAATGCGGCACATTACAACGAAAAGATGCAATACGCAAAAAGCAGAGGCCTTCACTGCCCTACGACCAGCACATTGAACAGGAGCGAGTCTTGCCGTTTCATGACCCCGAAGGTTTGTTTGTTACTGTTGTTATTTGTGTTGATTGTTACTGTGAACCAATGGTTTTTTTTAACAAAAATGTGGGTTTTGTGCTAGGTGAGGATTTCATTTGCTTCTTAGAGAAAGAGAAAGGATTGGACTTCGTTCTGGACCTTACAAGGTTAAATTTTGTTTTATTTGTTTATACATAATACCCCGCCGTGTAAAATTGTATTAGGCACTAAGAAGTTAACATTGCGATTTCGGCTACAGCCTCAGCTTAAATGGGTTCATTCCCGATTTGGACTCCCTAGATCGATCCCGTTGACATGTGATCGCTGACAGCACTGGTAGATAGAAAACTAGCTGAGAGAAATGCGAAACATTGAACCCGCGTGTTGTAGTTGTGAGCGCGTTAGCCCACTGGGTAGTAGCATGTTTGATCACGACCGCGTGCACCTGCGGTCTGGAGTTTTGCAAATATCTCGGCATCATTGTGGTTATATTTTTAAACTTCTTGCTGCAACAGCGTTTTTGATGTTGTGTTTGTGGCACAATGTTGATGTTGTTGAGCAACACAAGTATTGCTTGTTTAGTGGAGAATCGTGTTCAAAATCAGCCTGCGGGACGACTAGGTCACTCTGGGCGACGTAGTGAAGGAGCTCAGGATCCAAATAAAGTGGCGAAGTTTTTTTCGAAATTGGTGATTTTTTTAAAATTACACTTTATTTTTTAGAAAGTTGACAGTTTGTTCTAATCCGAACTTTCCATTTTGATTTCATCATTTTAACTTGTCTTTCTTCAGTTCCGTCGCGGTAATCATTTTGTTGAATCCGACGATGTGTCTCCTTCTACCCGTTCCTCTGCTGCGTTATCGTCAAAGCAAATGCTTCAGCAGTACAATAAAGGCAACCAAAGTAACTATGAAGTATGTCAATTTCCTCTAAAGATTATTTGGTTGATTTTCGAAGTTTCTACTGTATATTGTGTAGACTATTTTTCCTACTTTAATTGGTTAAAATTGTTTACATCTATGGACAATTTATCCGTGGTCCATTTCCGAAATCGACGTTTTTTCTCAGCATTTGTCGCCTCGGCACCACTCGTCAGCACCTGCTGTAGACGACGACTACACCAAGTTGTTCTCGGCTGGCAAGTTAGTTTTGAATGGTTGGATTCCAAAAGTTGTAAGAATTTGCCTGTGATAAATAGAATTGTTCCGTGTACGAAGTTCCTTTATCTTCAGAGTTTGTTATTTTCAGAGTCACTCGTAATAAGGTATCACCCTCTGACAAAACTAGCAAAAGACATGATATTTTATGTACACAACAAACAACGTAAGCTT